GCATCCCTGACCAGTGTTCGTCCAGCCGCTGCTTGAAGACTGCCAGGGAGGGGGTGCTCACCACCTCCCTGGGCAGCCGATTCCACTGCAAAACTACTCTTACTGTAAAAAATTCTTTGTGCTATCCAGCCAGTACCTTTTCCTCCCATAATTTAAAGCCATTGTTGCAAATCCTGTCCTCTGCTGCCAACAGGAACAGCTCCTCGCCTTCCTCTAAGAGACAGCCTTTCAAACACTTAAAGAGGGCAATCGTGTACAAGCACGTCCCTATTTTGATTTGTGAAACATTGGAGGGGATGATATAAACTGTGGCTGGAAACATGACAAAAGCATACTACTTCCCCAATGGGGCCTGTCAAACAAGTTAAACACATTTATCCGTACTATGGAATGCTGCTGTCTGAATATTTGCCTTTCATACATAACAACAGAAGCCAATGTGGGATCAGGCCAATGGCCCATCCAGTCCAACACTCTGTGTCACACAGTGGCCAAAAATACCGGGTGCCCTCAGGAGGTCCATCAGTGGGGCCAGGACACTAGGAGCCCTCCCACTTTATTTATTTATTCATTTATTTATTAAATTTCTACTCTGCCCTCCCGCCGAAGCGGCTCAGGGCGGCTTACAAACAATTTAAAACCAACATACAATTTAAAATCAGCAATTACGAGATATAAAATACAATTCCAATACGAACATAAGAGATTCCAATGTTGGATCAGGCCAAAGGCCCATCCAGTCCAACACTGTCACACAATGGCCAAAAATACCACATGCCATCAGGAGGTCCACCAGTGGGGCCAGGACATTAGAAGCCCTCCCACTGTTGACCGCCCCAAGCACCAAGAAGACAGAGCATCACTTGCCCCAGAGTCCCTATCTATACCTTGTGGCTCATAGCCACTGATGGACCTCTGCTCCATATGCTTATCTAATTCCCTTTTGAAGCCGTCCATGTTTGTAGCCACCACCACTTCCTGTGGCAGTGAATTCCAAGTGTGAATCACTCTTTGGGTGAAGAAGTACTTCCCTTTATCCATTCTAACCCGACCGCTCAATAAATACAGTGAAGCTAAATAAATACAGCGGCGTCCTATAATGAAGTGCTAGTGCGACCCAACCAGTGCAGTCAGTTCTTATTGGAACGCTTGGCGAAACAGCTCCATTTTCACGGCTCTACGGAACTGCTGGAACTACGGAACTGCCCCCCCCCCAAGCACCAAGAATACGGAGCATCCCTTGCCCCAGACCGAGAGTTCCTATCTATACCTTGTGGCTAATAGCCGCTGATGGAACCCTGTACAGAGCCAGGAGGCAACATCAGGGGAAGGCCTCAGCCCCTATGCCCTGTTATAGGCCCTCCAGAAGAGCTGGATGGCCACTGTGTGAGACAGAATGCCTGACTGGATGGGCTCTCCTTATGTTTAGCCTGGGAAAGAGAAGGCTTAGAGGGGACATGATTGCCGTCTTCAAGTATTTGATGGGCTGTCATGTAGAAGATGGAGCAGTTCTATTCTCTCTCTTGCTCCGGATTGCAAGACTAGATCTAATGGGTGGAAATTACAAGGGAGTCATTACCGGTTATATACCAGGAGAGACCTCCTAACGGCAAGAGTGGTTGAGCAGTGGAACAGACTGGAGAAACGTCCTAACTGTAAGAGTGGTTGAGCAGTGGAACAGACTGCCTCGGGAGGTGGAGGATGCTCCTTCACTGGACGTTTTCAAGTGGAGGCTGGACGACCATCTTTCGGGTATGTTGTAGGGCTATCTTTCGGCTATGCTCCTGCAGAGTGCAGGGGGCTGGACTAGATGACCTGCAAGGGGTCCCTTACAACTCTAACATTCTATGATTCTATGTTCTTATTATGAAAGACCACACTTTTCAAGAACATACCCCCACCTGTCTCCAACATAAAGAGCGTGAAACAGGCACGAATGTTCACGTGGCTTACCCAAGGGAGTGACTTTTATTTCAGGCATGATTATTGCAGTCTCAGAATTTCAGCTGGGAAGGAGGCTGTTGCAGAGATCCCATGAAGATGTCAACGTATCAGCAGCTCAGATACAAAAGATGTTCTGAAGGAAAGCAAGGGAGAAGAAAAATGGAAGTCCATAAAGAGGATAGTTTGTTTTTGGGGGGGGGGGGTGAAAAAGAGAACCATGCAGTTTTAAAAAGTCTGTGATGAGCATTGATCGACACATATTTCTCTGTGTGTCACACTTTCAATTCTAGTACAACTGCTGCCTTTAAAAAAATTCTTTTAACTGCAAGCAGACAAAATCTGCCAAAGTCATATCCTGTGAATTGGAGGAGGGGGGGGGGTAAGAAATCTGCAGTTAAGATGCTAGCTAGAGGTAAAATTGACAGGAAACATTAATATGATCAACTCAGTTAAAGGACTTCCAGAATGAAACTAGGAACACTTTCCTGGAACACACCCAAGTGAGACTCCAGATAGACTTGCTCAGGATGGGACTAAATAACAGCTATTAGCAATGCCTACATAAACCATTAAGAAGAACAATTCTAGAACACACTTACTGCAATTGAAATAATAGCATGCTTATTTTATGGTTAATTCCTGGACAGTTCCAATGTCTTTAATTGCCACAGAGACAGTTTTCCCCAGGACAGGTAAGCAGTTCATTGGGAAAGTCACCTGATGACTTCAAGCACAAAGCTGTTAAAAGCTAAGGAGCAGCACCACCCCTAATACTACCCTGAGCTGTATTATTGTTAGCCTTCAGACAGTAAGCTCCACAGGACAGAAATCTCTCTCTTATTTTACAGCTGTCCACAAAGCAAACATGCACACTGACAGCTATGCCTAAACATGTTACATCATCGACATAACACAATATATGGGCTACTTATCGAGATACCTCTATAGTACTCTAGGATCCAGCACCTTTTGTCTTCACAACTACCCCTTGAGGTAGGGCAGGCTGCACAGAGACGGAGTTTCAAGTTACTCACTGTCAAATGCATTTACACCCAAACTCTCCGTGGCTCCCTCAGTGCAAAAAGCTTGGTTCTTATGATACAAATTAACAGATATATTATGGTGTGCAATTTTTGATAGTTAATAAAGTGACCAAGTCAGTCATAATGCACTATTCGTTATCAATTGCTCTAGCCTGGATGGCCCAAGCTAGCCCAATCGCATCAGATCTTTGGAAGCTACGCAGGGTCAGCCCTGGTCAGTATCTAGGTGGGTGGGTGTCCACCAGGGAAGCCTAGAGCCGCTACACAAAAGCTGGCGATGGCAAACCTCTGAACGTCTCTCACCTTGAAAACGCTACGTGGTTGCCCTAATATGGCTGCCATCACTTTCCAAGCAATGTTCCCTCTAAGCTGTGGAGTCTTGTGAGCAAAAATTCCACTTTGTGCGCAACTCGCATGAAAGTTGTGAGCAAGCGATTTGGCGACTGCATAAATTAGTTTGCTCTGGAGCCATCCTTCCTGAGCTAAGACAAAACTGCGTGAGCCGGAGGCGAAAAAACTGTGAGCTAGCTCACACCAACTCAGCTTAGAGGGAACACTGTTTCCAAGGTTGCCAGCCTTCAGGTAGGGCCTGGAGATCTCCCACTATTACAACTGATCTCCAGGCAAAAGAGATCAGTTCACCTGGAGAAAATGGTCCCTTTGGAAGGTGGACTCTGTGGCATGATACCCCATTGAAGTCCCTCCCCCCAACCCCGCCCTCCTCAGGCTCCACCCCCCAAACTCTCCAGGTATTACCCAACCTGGAGTGGCAACCCTACTTTCCACCCGGCAAAAGGATATTATCAATCACGCAATGACAGGAACCCCAAAAGGCCTTTTGGTACTTAAAGGCCCACTTAGACTCATACTGTTTCCATGGCAACAACAAGCCCATTCGCTCAGCGCCTCCGGTGGGATGCTCCACACCTTCCTCTTACCTGCAGAGCAAGAGACCACGAGCGCATGCGCGGCATGCTTACGCGGAGCTTCCGGCAACCGGAGCGGCTCTAACACGCGTGAGCATCACCTCGTACCTGCACACATGCGCAGTTCGAAACCGTTTCTTTTTCTACGTCACGCGCACACC